TTCTGTGAACCTGTGAAATCTATAATACAAGTGATCTGTTTCCAAAGTAAAATAGTGGAACAGGGACAAGGTAGACATTTCCATTAGAAATGGGTGAAATTAGAGGGAAGAAGGGATCACTTGCAGCAAACAAGGGCGGAGCCCAGCAGAACAAATACATTAGCTCAAGGCTTGTTCATAATCTTCTCTTCCCTGAGACCATTTAGGCAATGGCCTTGTCCTCCAGACTCTGGGTGTTGATCATGCTCTCTGGATTCTGGGTGGAGGTCCCTTGGTCTTGGACTTCAGCTCCACCTTCCAGGCCCGCTGAGACAGCAACCCTACTCCGTTGGCTTTGGGTCGCCCCATTGTCCTAGTCTATCTGAGTGGTGACCCCATTCCTTCAGCCCCAGCAGGCTCTGTTCTTCTACCCCTTGGGCATGGCAACCCCACCCTCCTCAGCTTTAGGCAGTAGCCCTACTCCCTGGCACACCATAACAGCAGCCCCACACCTAGTTGGTGAAGATTTGACTCTTTGAAACTAAGGAAGCTATGGTCTTACTCTTTAAGATCCAGAAGATCAAGGCCTCACCCTTTGAAACAGAAGGCCCTGCTTCCTGTGCTCCTTCCAATAGTTCTGCTGATCTCTGAGTTGCTCCATGGATGGTCCTCTTTTTTTCTTGGAGGACAAAAGATGTAGCTCCTTTGGCCTGTTTCTTCTCTGTAGAACTTCAAGAAGCAGACAGCATTCTCTTTTTTTTTTTTTTTTTATTCTCTCTCTGTTCCCTTTTTCTAAGCTGATAGGTTTTCTGCTGTAGTTGGTTAGATCCATCAGTCATAAGCTTAATTTCTTTAACAAAAGATTGTGTAGTTACATCCTTGGTGAACATTCTAGGATATGTGCCCTTCGTTCATACAACACAATTTTCCAAATCTTTAAGTTCTCTTTTCATTTTGCACAGTTCATTTTTAAGTCTATTCCCTCTCTTTAAGTTCTCTTTTCATTTGCACAGTTCATTTTTAAGTCTGTTTCCTCTCATACTTTGCTACAAGCAGCAAGAAGACCACAAGGCCTCTTTAAGATCTTGCTTAGAGATCTCCTCACCAGAAATCTAAGTTCCTCACTTACATTTTCTACCTTCTACCAAACAGTTGAACATAATTCAGACTAGTTCTTTGCCACTACATAAAAAGCATCATCCTCCCACCATTGTCCAATCTTATATTCATAATTTTCTTTCAAAGCCTTACAGAAGCACAGTTAATGTCCATATTTCTAGCAATACTCTGTTGCTGGTGCCATGTGTATTCTCTAGGAAGACAGAGATTTCTCTACAGCTCTTCTCACTTTCTTCTCAGTCCTCACCAGAATTACCTTTGATGCCTGTAATTCTACCAACAGTTTCTTCAAGAAAATCTAGGCCAAAACCAAAAACAAAACCAAACTCACTGCCATCGAGTTGATTCCAACTCACAGTGACCCCCTTTGGGTTGCCAAAGCAGTAAATCTTTACAGAAATAGATTGCCCAGTCTTCCTTCCGCAGAGTGGCTGGTGGGCTTGAACCACCAACCTTCTGGTTAGCCGTCAAATGCTTTAGGCACTATGCCACCAGAGCTCTTTTCAACTCAATGGCAGTGGGTTTTAATTCAACACATAACACAACCAAAGGAAAAAAATAAATAAAGACTTGTGAATCAAATGATGCCATTAAAATTGTTGTTGTTGTTATGTACCATTGAGTTGTCTCCGACTCATAGCTCATAGCGACCCCTCCTTAGGTTTCCGAGGCTGTATGTCTACAGAAGTAGACTGCCCAATCATCCTTCTGAGGAGTGGCTGGTGGGTTTGAACCGCCAACCTTCTGGTTAGCAGTCAAATGTCTTAGGCATTATTGCACCAGAGCTCTTTTCAACCCAATGGCAGTGGGTTTTAATTCAACACATAACACAACCAAACGAAAAAAATAGATAATTAGTTAAAGACTAGTGAATCAAATGATGCCATTAAGATTGTTGTTGCTGTTACATGCCATCGAGTCATCTCCAACTCATAGCGACCCCTCCTTGGGTTTCCGAGGCAGTATCTCTATGGAAGTAGATTGCCCAATTTTCCTTCTGAGGAGTGGCTGGTGGATTTGAACCGCCAACCTACTGGTTAGTAGTCAAGTGCCTTAGGCACTACACCACCAGAGCTCCCGCCATTAAGATAGTGAAATGAAAACTCACAGAATGGCAGAACATATGTACAAATTACCTATCTAATAAAGATCTAGTATGTAGAATATATAAGGGAATCTTATAATTCAATAAAAATATAAATAACCCAGTTTAAAAATGGGCAAAGCATATAGACACTTCTCCAAAGAAAATATACAAATGACCCATAAGCACATAAGAACATCGTAAACATCATTAGTCATTAATGAAATGCAAATCAAAACCACAATGAGTTACCACTTCATAGGCACTCCAAAAAAAAAAAAAACCAAAAACACCAAACTCACTGCCATCGAATAGGATCTGACTCATAGCGATCCCTCATTGAGTTTCCAAGGTGGTATCACTACAGGAGACTGCCCAACCTTCCTTCCGAGGAGTGACTGGTGGGTTTGAACTGCCAGCTTTCTGGTTAGCAGTCAAGTGCCTTAGGGACTATGCTACCAGAGCTCCCTCATAGGCCATAACTGGGGGGGAAAAAAGAGCCAATAACAAGTTTGGTAAGGATGTGGAGAAACTGGAACCCTCATAGTTTGCTGGTGATGATGTAAAACAGCACAGCTTCTGGCAGTTTCTCAAAAAGTTAAACATAGAGGTATCATAAAAATCAAACCAAACCCATTGCCATCAAGTTGATTCTGACTCATAGAGACTTCTACAGAGTTTCCAAGGCTGTTAGTCTTTAAAGAAGCACACTGCCTCATCTTTCTTCCACAAAGTGCGCTAGTAGGTTCAAACTGCTGACCTTTTGACTAGCAGGCCAATGCCTTAACCACAACCCACCCCCGCTCCAGAGCTCCTAGAGTTACCATATGACCCAGCCACTCCTCGGAAGGAAGGTTGGGCAATCTACTTCTGTAGCGATGTCGCCTCGGAAACCCAAGGAGGGATCACTATGAGTCGGGTCCAACTCAACGGCACATAACAGCAACAGTCCTTGGGTGTGGTAGTTAAGGTTATGTGTCAACTTGGCTGGGCCTGGTTTTAAGTGGCTAGGCAGCTGGATGTAGTTATTTCCCATGATGAGACTGATAATCAACACCATGGTGAAATCTGCTGTGAGCAGCTGAATAGCTGCCTTAGGGGTGTGGTCTGCTTCCAGTATATAAGCAGCAGCTTTGAGGAAGGTTTCTGAGCTTCTTGGCACACCTGGATCCTGCATTTTGCTGAGTCATCAGTGAGTGGCCCACCATAATGTCTGTCCATCTTGGGACTATTTCTGGACTTGAACTAGTGGCTTGCCATGCTGCTTGATAATCTTTGGACTGTGCCCTTTTATTTGTCGACTTTGGGCTTGTGAGCCTCAGCAGTCAGCAGCTGCCTGAGTTAAGAGATGCCTCCAACTCCAGTGGACTGGGAGCAAGAGGGAAAGCTGAAGGCCCCAAGGTCGAGGGGCCTTCACCCAGCCCCTAGTGCCAGAACTTTGAACTCAGACTTCCAGCCTCCAAAACTATAAGAGAATAAACCCCTGTTTGTTAAAGCCACCCATTTGTGGTATGTCTCTAAGGATGGCACTAGGGAGTCAAAACATTGGGTTATAAATAAGATTTATTCCTAAGTTTTCTTTAAGTTGAATTTTAAGGTAATTCAGAACAGTGCATACAGTTCTTATTTAGCCTTACTTTAGTGCAAGAAAAGGCTTGAAATCTTTTCAATGATTTAAAAGCTGCATGTGAAGCAAGTAAAGGTGCCTGTGATGAAGAATTTGTTGGAGGTAGGGGTTGGTTCGATCACTTCAAAGTCAGGGCAAATTTACATAACATTAAAGGGGAAATAGGAGTTGTTCTGAAGGTGGACATTCTTAACCTAGAGACTCACTGTACTCACAAACCATATGTTCATACAAAAACTTATATATGAATGCTCATAGCAGCATTATTCACAATATCTAAAAGGTGGAAACAGCCCAACTGTCCACCACTGATGAATGGATAAATAAAGTGTGGTTTAGCAATATAATGGAATATTATTCAGCCATAAGAAAGAATAAAGTACTGATATACATGCTAACACATGGATGTTAAGTAGAAAGCCAAACACAAAAGGTCAAATATTATATGATTCCATTTGTATGAACTGTCTAGAATAGGCAAATCCAGAGACAGAAAGTAGATTAGTGGTTGCCAGGAGCTGGAGGAAATGGCAGTGACTGCTGGTGGGTATGGGAGGTCCTTTTTGGGGTGATAAAATTAGATAGTGATGATGGTTGTACAACACTTTGTGAATATATATTAAAAACCATTGAAGAGTACATTTTAACATGGTGAATTTTATGGTATGTGAATTGTATCTCAGTAAAAAAAAGAATTTTGACATTAAGTAAATGCTTAATTTTCAATTTTTTTTTTTTAAATGGTGTAGTTCAAGAACCCAAAGACTTTAGAAGAAGTAGCAAAGAAGGAGAAGGATGGAGAAGCAAGTACAGTCTGACCCAGTGGGAAATAAGTACTTGGGCATTGCATCTGTTTAGGACTGAGTGAAAAAGAATGCTTGCTCCAGACATTTTAAACCAAGCTCTTTCCCCTGTTAGTACCACCCTGCTGGAGCTCGGTGTTGGTTATTTGTGAGGCTACTCTGGATTCTCTCTGGCTCATAAAACAATTTGGGAGGTAAGTGTCCTCTCCCAAACCTGCTGGAAAGGGGGTTAAGATGAAGGCAGGGTACCCCTGAAACAGAAAGCTTATGACTGATGTGATTGGGATTTGCAGGAGAGTGAGAACCAACCAGGAAGAGCTGGTCGATGAAATCATCACCAAATGGAAAGAGCAGGAATGGAATAAAACCAGAGAAGCATATCCTTTACCATTGTGTTTCTGCAAAAATCCAATGACCTTTTCCAGCACGGTGGTTTTGTCCATTTTCCGCATGTTGCCAGGGAGCATGGAGCTAAGCTCTTTGATGAGAACATTGAACTGGTCCCGACGCTTCTTCTCAGACTTGTTTCGAGAAGCTCTGTAGACATAAAACACACAGGTTACCAGAATATTCCATTTCCTACAGGCTCTGTTATGAAATCAAGATACTTTCATCCGAGTATGTTCTGTTGTGATCACTTTATCAAAACTCTTCTAGGGAAGGTAACATTAGCCACTTTCAGAGCTGAGTGACAGGGACAGAAAAATGTTTTGCTAGACTCTTGGCTACAAAGAAAGACAGCATTAAAAAGAAATAAGTTCTAACTGTGATGCGAAATCTGACAGAGTAGCTTCATCATCAGATGCTGTTCTCTCTGACTTCATAAAGCTCTCACCTTTCAAGAGCATGTGACATGCTGTTTTGTAAAGATGGCTGCAGCCCAGAGGGGTTACCTGAGACCTCTCTTTTAGCCAATGGTTCAACCAAACCATGTTCTCTCCAATCCAGAGCACCTTAGACTCTGGTGCTAAGTCACATGGGGTAGGTAGCCTGGTGTTCCAAGTGTCCAGCAGACAGCCACGAAGGGCTTGTGTCCTGGCCACTGCTTCAGGAAGCTCATCATCCTGTTAGGGAGGCAAGGCATGCCAGCATGAGACAGTGTGCAAGCCATGCACAACAGAGGGCTGACACATGGCAGGCACCACAACGGCATAACACGCTGAGCACCTACAGAACTGATAGCAAGCAGAGCTGCTCACTTTGAGAGGGATCTTCCCCTGAGCACTAATGAGGCACCTCTGAAGAACCCGAGGGTCCCTGAGAACTTGGTTAGAAAATCATGGCCACAGATGCTGCTCAACTAGAACACAAAACAAGAAATGTACCATACAGGAAGCCTGCCTTTCCCTGAGCAAGTCCAGCCTGTAGTGCAGTTCAAGGGACCTTGAGTTTTAATGTGACTACCACAGGCCCTGGGTACTGAGCTCTTCAGGACTAGCTTACTCGAAGATGATCAGGGCTGAGAAAGCTGTTCTACCTCTCCCAAAGCCACACAAGATGGACTTGTTCCAGAAAACCAGTTCACTGACAGAACAGACGTCATGACTACGGAGCCCATTAAACATATCTGCCTGCTGGACCAGGCACTCCTGGGTTTTAAGATCAAGATTTGTGGAAAAGCTAACAAATCATCAGGAACTACCAGCCAATGTGGGATCAGGATCAAGGGTACTGGTGGTTTCTGACAACATAGTGAGTTTCCATTAGGGGGATTCACTTACCCTGGAATAGGTATCAGCATCTATAGATACTGGTATCAGTAAAGACTTTGTTTCCCAAACAGCCCTTTGAAAGCATTTGTTGTTGTTGTTATGTTCCATGGAGTTGGACCCACCTCATAGCAACCCCTCCTTGGGTTTCCAAGATGGTATCACTATGGAAGTAGATTGCCCAATCTTCCTTCTGAGGAGTGGCTGGTGGGTTGAACCACCAACCTTTTGGTTAGCAGTCAAGTGCCTTAGGTACTTTTCCTTGATGCTAAGTTGGATAGTCATCACCACTCTGTTTGCCTCTAATTACGTACACACCAAAAAAACCAAACCCAACTGTCGTCCACTTGGAAGGGGATCTATGCAGGAGATCCTTGATAAAGAGGGAGAACAATGTGGAACAAAACTCAAAATCATTTGGAGAAAAAAGAAAAAAAAAGGTGGGGACCAGGTTTGCTGGTCTGATAGAGCCTGGTGGAACCACTGAGATTACTGCCCCTAGCTGCCCTTCAGGTCTGGAATTGAACCCACACCTGTGGCTTCCAGCCAAACAAAATACAGGCATAAGAGTTGAACATGTACCTGAGGTAGATACACTCCTTGGAGAGAACAATCATGGAAGAAAGAAGGGCTGCTTATGCACAGGGAGACAGCTCAGGGGGCAGGAG